TATATACACACAAACAATACACACACATATATATATACACACACATACACATACACACATATTTGCATCCATATTTTTATATATATTTGTCTTTGTATTCGGGATTGTGGGAAACTGTATTTCGATCTCTGTCTGTACACAAACTGAAAGATTGACAACAAAGTTGACTTTGACCATCTGTACTGTACTGTGGGACCACCAACTACTTAGGCAAACTTACTGTGTAGCGAAACACTGTTTATGACCAAATAAAGTATATCTATATACCTGGTATGTCAGGTCCAATTTGTATAAAATGATTTGGGGACCTGAGCAGCCTTAACGTGTGTTTGAGTGTTTGAGGGTGGATGTTTCTCTTGGTATTGGGTGGTGTGTTCAGACCTTTCTCGTCGTAGGTGCGGGGGGCCCATGGGGGGTCCTCCTCAGCGTACGGGTCGCTGTACTCCACCACCGCTGACTCCTCTTCATCCTCTTCCTCCTCCTCCTCGTCGTCTTCGTACTCTTCCGGCGGTGGAGGAGGGGGGGTGGGTTCCTCGAACACCGGATCCTCGGCGGGGGGAGGTGGAGGCGGCGCGTCTGAGACTAGAAAGTAGTAAGAAAATAAAAAAAGAGACAGTTAGAGGTGAAGAGAGCACACAGAGGAAGGGACAGCGATCTACCATGCACAGTTCATGCTGGATGCTTTTACTCAGACCGTCAGGAGACAAAACATGCACACACTGAACCAACGTGAAGGAAATGCAAAGGGGTTCCCTAGAGAAATCAGAGACAAGACGCACAGAACACATGCACTGGATTTCGATCATGCCTTATTACTCATGCAACGCTTCATATCTGTGGTTAACCACCAACATTGAACTACCAAAGATCAAATAAGACATCTCCCCCTATGTTTTTGTATAAATCTATTTAACAAAAACATCCTTAAAAACAATATATTTTTGTGATACCAAGTTTTTTTTAAATCTAATTTGGCAAGTAAAAATAAAACAAATAGTATCTTAAACAGGAGGTGGCCATGATTTGTTGCGGCAATAAATGCAAATATGAGAACTGTACAAATACTTGGTAGCGGAGTAAAAGAACGTGGATTTAATAATCTAAAAAAACTAACAAAATGTGTTGAAGGAATCTGACTCAGACTTTTTAAGAGTTATTAATATGTCATAAAATAAGTAAATGATTAATCTGGCACCAATATTCCAGGAGAAACATGGACACCTACATGTTGTGGCAGCGGATGATGCTGGAGGTTGGTCACTCGTTTACATTCATAAGGAGATATCCCCACCCCCCCCCCCAAAAAAAGGACAACCCACTGACTGTTTAGGAGAACATTTAAAACAAGTTGGTCATGCAGGAGGGGGGGTTTGAGGGGCTGAGAGCCACTTACTGGTCTCCTGTACTCGGGCCACAAAGCCCATCAGAGGCAGCTGGGGGGTGATCTGCATGGAGGGGGGAGGGGGTGCGAGCGGGCCTGCTATCACCGGACAGTGTCAGTACAGAGAGAGAGGAAGAAGAACGGCAGACAGAAGCAAAGAGGTTAGAAATACCAAGAGGAGAGTGACAGGAACAGAGTCAATCAACATTGAGCATGGTCTTTAGTTGAGAGATTCATCATCGTGTCTTTTTCTTCCCACCTGTAGGAGTATTAAAGAAACAGACAAATGGAGGACAACAGGTGGAGATTAAGAAAGAGTCGTAATGGTAGAGGCCGTGAAGAGATGAAGTGAAAAGACAAAGCGCCACAAGTCTGGGGATCAACTTCCCCTGAAATCAACAGGAAGCTGGAAAATGCTCATTTACTAACATTAGCCATTATTAGTTTGTTACATTTTGGAAAATCATCTCATTTAGGGATGATCACACGCTGTGCAGTCCGTACTGTAGTTGACGTATCTTAGTATGAAATTCAGCTACTTTGTGTATTCATCCCAATTTCAAAATGTCAATAACGGTTTGTCACGTGACTGTGTTCTGTTTGATAGTTATAATACATTTTTCATGGAAGATAGACGGGTTCAAATATGCTATAATATCTGGGAGGATTGTTCAACTTGATACACAGTTCAATACAATGAATGATTTTGTTCAATAAATCATAGCTAAAGAAATTGAGTATTTAGTTATTCGTGTTGGATTTCGTCAACTCCCTTATATTTTTTTACCTTTATTGCCGATGGGAACTTCAGGGAAAGGGCAAATTAAAATGATTAAAAGTTAATGGTTTCATAACTTTGCTACCAGAAGCTTTATGGATATATACCCGTCTCTTCTTGCTCACACATGTCAGCGGTACCTGGGGTCTGGGCGAAGTGCGGCCCCCCGTTGAGCTGGCTCTGGGACATGTTGGGCTGCCCAGTGACGGAGGAGGGGCGGCGGAACGGCAGAGAGCCCCCCACCTGAGAGTTCGGCATGGGGGGCTGTGCTGGGCGGTTCATGCTGTAGAACTGAGGAGCACCTGAGAGGGGGGACCACCGGGGGGCAGCAGAGAGGATGAGAGGGAGAGATCAGGGGCGTGATTTTGAATATTACACAGAGTAGACAATTTGTTAAAAAAAAATTATAAATATTACAAAATATTATAAAATTAAGAAATGACAGGAAAATCAACATAAAATAGTACAATAATATTATTATCCAAATCAGAGTGGGAATGAATGAGAAATAAATGCGTTAAATGAACACTTTCTTCATGATTTGCTTCCCTGTACAGCAGCACTGCACAATGATGGATCACAACAATATCCAGCCACACATAAACAACAACAACATTGAAAATTAAAACACAGGGAAGAAGAGTTGCCGTAAAAGCATGCGCCATAGATCAGAGGGACAGCATGCAGCGGATGAGGGAGGAAGACTCTGCCACTGATTTATAGACAGTTTGGTAAATATAAGTGAAGTGCTCTACAAAGACATCAAAGCCTGATTTTATTTATTTTTTGAAATGGTGGAGGGAAACATGCCAGGGGGGGGCGGGGAGGGAGTGCTTCTCCCACCTGAGGTCACACTCACCTGCTGCAGGGTTGCCAAAAGTATTAGGGCCCGTGTTGGGGGGCCCCACAGAGAGAGGGAGCTGGGGAGGGGGCGGGGGGACAGGCGGGGTGTCTACAGGTGGGTTAGGGGCCTGTGGGGGACCGTCTAGGGCGGAAGTGGGGGCTCCGGGGGTGGTGGCAGTGTTGGGGGGAGGTTTGGCCGGGTTAGATTGGATGGGGGCTGAAGTGAGAGGTTGAAGGAAGGAGAGAAGAGAGGTGAGGGGGGGTCAACAGCAGATCAGAGTGAGAAGGGAGGAAAGGAGTACTACACATCAAGTTATTATAGTCATTTCTAGAGCGTGTAGGAGTAGAGTGATGCAGTGATGAAGTTTTTTTTAAAGAAAATTGAATATTTCCGAAAACCAGATCTGAGTTATTTACACTGTGTTACATCGACTTGGAGACTAGTGAAAGCTCAAGAGCCGAGTCATTTCCAGGTGTACGGACTCATTCCTGCACCACTCTATCCTGGATCCTTTTAGAAAAATAGATTAGTTTCACACACAGATGTTGTCGCTGGGGGAAGAGAACAGGAAGTGTGTGTTACCTGGGAATGAGTTGGGCGGGGCGGGGGTTGGCACGGCGATGGGTAGGACCACGCTGCCGCTGCCACTGTTCTCCCGGCTGCTGCTGCGGCTGCTGCTGGGATGGCTGCCTCCACTGCTCCCACTGCTGTGGGGGGGGGGGGGGGCACAACACACTCTGAAACACCGTCACTCACTCTGCTGGGAGACGCTCCGAGAGCAGGTCGTGCTACCCTATTCTTTTATAAAACTTAAGAGTGGAAAATGTAATATCTAAAAATGGAGGTCTTTATCTACAAACTAAATTAAATCTTCACATCTGCCTCAATGTCTCAATGGTTTCAGGAGCTATGAATCAGAGCAACTTAACACAGGCACTTCCTGTTTGGGTTTCCATAGCATCTTATGAACTAAATAGATTCTGCAATTTAAACTCATGAGCTGCTTTCAAAGATTAAAACCACTCAAAATGTCCTTGAGTTCATCTGTGTATTTATTGCGATGCTACTATGATTTTTAAGGATTTAATAAATTGAAAGGAGACATACATACATGAAAAAAGGAGACTAATACTCTACAGAAAGTTATGCTTTATTAGCGTTTAAGGTTAGCTGTCTGCATTATTAACCAAATTAAGTTTTGTTCTCTCAATAATCTTCTTCAAATCTTCTTTTTTTCCTTGTACCAACACAAGGCTGGAACAACAGAGCTCAGGAACAGTGTTCAGCACCTTCCCAATAACGCACATTATTAACGTGGCACCCTCAAGAGCATGGATGTGTTAGTACGGTTAGTACAAGCTGTAATGCCTTTGAAATGGCTATGTAACAGTGATTTTAAAAAAAGCAGCCTGGCCAAGGACACATGACACAGGTGACGCAGAGAGCGACACGAGACAGAGACAGAAGAGATGACACGCTGAGAGAGCAGGAAGCGAGGAGACACACAGGAATGACTCTTTGTGAGATGGAGAAAAGGAGCAGTGGATGGAGCAGGGAAGATACAGAGGAAACTGGGGAATTGTAGCTACAGCACAGAAGGGGCGCAAATTACGTACATGTTGTTTTTACCTCCAAACTCATGATTTCACTTCTGCGATTAGCTCTTGGGTTCAAAGAGTGTTGTCCTGGGAGAGGAGCTGACATTGACTGTGGGGGCGACGCTGCTTATTTAATGACTATTACCATAGGAACCTGCGTCTAGCCATGCTGAATACAGCTCTGAATATCTTCCTCATTCTCTGAGCGGCAAGAGAGTGGTGCGGTGATGGCGTGTTGTATAGGCCGACAGAAGATCGCATCGCATGGGGTCCTTCGAAAAAAGCCAATGGGATTTTACATTGGATTTTGGAATATTGCATAAAATAAACATGTTTATGATACTTACATGTTTTGTTCAGAAGGATATATTAACAGCACTGAGTTTAAACATAATTGCCAGAAGTAGAACGCTAGCATGAGGCTATATATGAGCTACATCACGGTCACATGACTTCAAGTCACTGTGGCTAAGCTAAATGCGGCTAATGCTTGGCGAGATGACACTTAGAATTCTTATTTAGGCGCTTGGTATCAAAGTTTGACATATGTTATGTCGTAGAACGAAAAATGGTAAAATGCTAACTAATTTCCACATTGAAGGACTCGTTCCTGTAGCACTATATGGGCAATCCCTTGTAGCAGTAACTCTTGTAGAAAAAGGTTGGTCAAACGTTTTAAAAGAAAGAAGGGAGGAGAAGTGATTTCCAGTTCAGATTACAAGAAGGGGGAGGCTCGAGGAGAAGAAAAAGGAAAAGTGGGCGTGTTTAAGAAGAGTAGAGAGGCATGCTGGGAAGTGGGAGGTGGGGGGTACCTGTACGTGCGGTTCCTCTGATTAACAGATGCAGTGCGTGCAGGGCTCTGCAGGGGGGGCGCCATGTTGCGTGTCGGGCTTGAGACGTAGTCGTTAGGGACAACGGGCGGACGCACCGGCTCGAGCGTCCTATAGGGGGAGTGGCGCCTAGGGGAGGGTCAGGAGGACAGGAGGCGAGGGAGAGGGGGGCATCCACAGAGAAGTGTAGGTAGGGGGGAGGAGGGAGGAGAGCAAGAAAAAAAATAATATAAGTGCAAACTTAAAAAACGGGGTATGACAGGTGAACATCGGAGCGGTGGGGGTGAATCCAGAGGTGGAGCATGGGGGGGGGGGGGGGGGGGGACACTGGCGCTGCTGTCGGATTAAAACCGTTCATAGAAATAAAATCATTTATTATTAAAGTATACGGTTGTACCGGGTACTGCATTTCAAAAAGTGCAAACAAAACATTTGGTTACTTTGAATTTTGACTGTTAAATTACAAAATAAGATGTGCAGAGATTAAAAGGTGTACAAGGAATAAATACTTTATAATTACAGTATTTATTCTACTGTACAGTATTGCATTTTACTTTATCTTATTCTATTTTACATGTATATATTTTTCTTATTCCAACTACTTACTCGCACCTTTTACTTTTAAGATGTGCTGTAGCCATGTGTGATAATTATTCCATCCAACTTCAGCGAGATCACATGTTAGGGATTTAACTGGCTTTAGGGATGTCAACCTGCAGATAAATTAAATAAAACCACAGAAAGTGTTTCCAACCCGACAGCAGCGCCTCACTGATGACGTCCTCAGCACCACAGGGTGAAATAAAAACACAACCTTGAGTTATTGATCTGATGCACTGCCATGTGGACCGGTGACCCATCTCTGAGCACTGTTGCTATGGCAAAACGTTGCTATGAGGAATATGGGGCAGCACGGAGTGGGCGGGCTGGGTCACACACACAGTAAATCAAAAACAAAACAAGGAGGAAGTTGAGTAAAAGTAAGATGTCTGCTGATAGCCACAGGGTGCATCATGGAGCTGGGGTGGTGGGTCGGCATGGGTCTTGAAGGGACGGACACACACACCATAAGACAGACACACACATTAACACCAACAGCACCCAGGAAGGTCCTGAGGGTGACGCCAACACAACATGTATGTTGCCCTGAGGGATAACAGACACCTTCAACAGTCAGACACAGAGAACACATCTGGACCAGGAGCTTTAACACAAGGTGCAAGAACAATATTACCCACTAAATGATACGAAACTGTAGCGCTTAGAAATGCTACTTTTTAGTCTCTTCGATGCCGTCATGGAGCCCTTAACTACGCTATATTTGAATCAGCACACATTTAATAACATATTAATGAAAAATTGTTTAATATAGCTTTTGCTTATATAAAAAAAGTGTCAAAAATAGTGCTTCAAAATCCCTTTTAGCCTGATGAAACAACTGAAGCTAAACTGTAAGCATAGCTGCATTGTCTCTGAAAGGAGGAGTCTTTATATTCCTAAAATTAAAAAGGTGAATATTTTTTCTTTTATTGTGCCAAAACAGGAATCAGCACCAACATTTAGAGGATTCAAACAACAACAACTAGAAATTCTCCTCAACTCTCTTTCCTTTGTCGTGAAATCTTAAGCTTTTGTCTCTAATCATATTCAAATGTTTTTGATGTTGAGCAAACGCACGTTCCCTTTCCAGCCATCTGCTGGTTTTATATGCTCCAAAAGTATATAAGTCCAATCTATGGGGGCTAGGGAGTATTTTTGGGTGCAAGAAACCCTTAAAAAACCAAATGTAAGCATGCCGTTTGATGTGAAAATCCATCCTTTATGTGGAGAGAACGGGAGAGCAAATTAGAAGAGAAAAGCACTGCGCTGAGATCTACCAGTGGATTTTAAACCACCCAGAGGACACTAATTAAACAAGGTAATAGTGGTTTAATGATGAAACTGGGGGCAACCAGGCCCTCTGAGGGGGGGGGGGGTTAACCTCTGGAAGCTACGGACTCTGCGTACGTCCATCTGAACGTCAGCGGTACATACCCGAGGGTCCCTTTCCCCGACATGGGCGGGCTGGGGGGCTTCTGTGTGGGGGGGTTTGTGCGAGGGAGGACCGTGCCTCCTGCCTTCATGTTCTGAGCGCTGGCCTATAGGAGGAGAACAGAGGGAGGTTAAACCCAGGGACAGGACACAGTTACAAACACACAAATAAAAAACCATCACAACATCTTGAAAAGGTATTGATTGACATTTTGAGAATTATATTTATTTACTTTCATGTAGATGAGAAGATCGAAACCACGCTCGTAAATTAGATTAGCACAGTGGTTCTCAAAGTGGGGGGCGCGCCACCCCTGGGGGGCGCAGAGGCATGCCAAGGGGGGCGCGAGAGAAAAATGGTTATATATAAAAAAAAAATTTAAAGAAAAAAAAAAAAACCCCATAATTTTAAAGATTATTGATTCGAAAATAATATGATGCAGTACTATTACGTCTGGGTCTCTGTGTTTCATTAAAGCTCGGCTCTGTGTGTGGAACGAGCCATTTTGTGTGCGTGCGCAAGAGAGAGAGCGCACCGGTACCGGAGATCGTTGATGTTAGCTTCTGGTGCTAGCGAGCTACGCTAACAGATATAAGGAGTTTTTTCAACAACAAAAGTGGAGGAGAGTCCTCTCCTGTCAGACTGAGAGACTCAGTGAGCTAAAGGACTCTCTCTGTGTTATCTCAGTGGGTCTCAAACGTTCTGGTCACCATTAATGTAAACAATTATTTCCGAGGCACACATTTATATGATCATTATAGTTATAAAAAAATAAGAGAATAAATGAAAAACAGCTATGAAATACTATATGACAGTAAAACAAGAATAAAGTTTAAAAGGGTGATTTGTAAAATATCCATAAAGAAAAAGTAAATCTGTTTACAGTTCTGTTTCAAATGGGTGTTGAGAGATGTATCCATAGATCTCTTCATGTTGCTCTCTCAAAGTGCACCAGATTGACTTTTAACTTCAATATTTAAAAATAAATCTTCCCAGGGCAGCTTGCCCCCGGACCCCCCTATGTGAGGTCCACACACCACCTATAAAAATAGCACTTTACCCCTGCTTACACCTATATGCCGTGAGCTGATTATCGAGCCTTCATTGTAACAGTTGCGGGAACACTGTGTATATGCGTGTGGGGAGTGTTGCAGTAGAACATTCCACTGTAGCGCCCGGTACATTAATGGGAAACCCTAAATGTTTGAGCACCCTCTATGAAACGTCAAGCTACCCCACAGCACCCGCAAAATAAATCTCTGGCGCCGCCACTGAGCCTGACTGTTGGGGGGGACCGACTTTTTTTTTCCTCCAAAGGGGGGCCTGACAGAAAAAGTTTGAGAACCACTGGATTAGCATAACATGTTAAAAGATCCTCCAACTAGCACCTTTAAAACTCACCAATTAACACTATTATCTTTTTTGACTAATAAAAAGAACGTGTTAAATTGAACTTGTTGATTTCGCACATTAATACATAGTATTACAGATTTAAAAAAAAAAATGTATCACGTCTTAATTAGCGTGCTTTAAAAGGTGCTACCTTCTGAAAGAACTAGCTGTTTCCAGTCTTAATGCTAAGCTAAATGTCTCCACAATAAGAAATAAGAGTGGTGTCAATCCGTTCATCTCAACAAGAAAGCAACTAAGCATATTTCCCAAAATATTAAACTAATCCTTTTATAGCAAACACAATCTTTGAAATATATTTTTTTTAAAAGGAAAAACTCACAGCAACTCAATAAAAAGTGAAAATCAAAACCTCTTGTGTTTGAGGTTTTTACTTTGAAAGTCTTACCTTAAACCTTTGCAACCACTACGGTTGATTAAAAGAACAATTAGGCAAGCAGGAAGAGAGAGAGAGAGAGAGAGAGAGAAGAAGAAATCAGAGGATTAGTGAGGGCAGCAGGAGAGGAAAACAAGTATTCATGCATGTGGCACATAAAGCCAGGCAACAATGGCTCAGTGTGGAAATCTGAGGAATTTCTTCTTCTGTGAGGAGTTCACTTTCTGGAAAACAAGCTTGTCTTTGTTCAGAGAGTCAGTAGCTTTCCAAAGTCAGACAGTATTACCAGATAAAAAGACGATTGCACAGAAACGTGTTAGCAGCAGCAGGTGACAGATTTACAACAACATTTGATTGAGCTGAATTCATGTCCTCTGTGACGTGCGTTTCCACCCCTGTTGGAAGCTTAATCATTGATTTGTTTCCAACATTACTTGGCATTAATAGTGTTTGTCGACCCCTAAAAGTCCTCTGTTAGATTTCAGCAGTAAATAAACCACATTTATCGCACAACACAAACACAGCCCAATTTCTGAATCCACAACTCTTCCAGACATGTTAACCTTTCATCAGTCTTGAACTGACAAATAAAATGTATTAAAATGCAAAGATTAGTGTAGCATAATATTTCGTTTTTTTATATATTTTCTATCCTATAATCATGTCTAAACCCAAGATAGTAAACCACTATCTAGGGCGACTTACAACCCTTTTATCAAAGAGTGAAAACAATCGAATACACTTTAGAAACTGCCTTGTAGTTGGTGCGTTTCCAATCCATTTGGTTTCCCAGATTGACCAGTCATTTATTTGACTTTAAATACCATTAACGAGCTTAATTAGGACCTTTCATTAGCAGCAGCAATTCCTTCACACAATGCAGTCTCTTTGATCTTATTGGGTGGAAATAAAGAGTGGAATAAGCACCTTGACTCCATGGCCCATGTCGTCCAGGAAGCTGTAGTCGATGGGCTTGCGTATGTAGCGTACGGGCCTCTCGGGGTTGGCAGGGGCGATGATCTTGTGGGTGCGGGACGTGTTCTTGTTGGTGGTGAGGATGCCGATCTCCCGCCGGGCCACCTTCTCTTTGTGGATGTCCACCGTCTGAGTGGAAAAGGACACGAGACACTCTTTAACGGTTTAATCTTTTCAAATGTACAAAATGTCCGCCAGTGGCTTCATTAGTATTCCTGCTCATTGTGATGTTTCTTGGATAGACTTTAAAATGCTTCGTATCCTTTTTTTTAAGTCAATAAATTGAGAAACTAAATTGTGTCATGATTTAAAAAGAAAATACAATGCTTTCTGGCAATAAACACAGAAAATCATTGTTATCTAAAATATTTTAAATGTAGAAACATATAAAAAAATATGCCTGGACATTTCATAAGTTATTTCGGCTATGTTATTATTTACCTGTGAGATGTGGTTGATGGAGGACTCCATGCGGCGGAGCTGCGAGGCCTGGATGTCCAGCATCTGCAGCACATTGTTGGCCAGCGTGTTGATCAGGTAGGCCACGCTGGCCAGGGACTGGGTGGTGTAGTTCTTGGTCTCCTCCAGCGCCCTCTCCTTGTCTGGAGACTGAAGGAGAGAGGCATGCAACATTTATTTTGCATTTTATAATGTGTAAAGAAAGCCTGTATGGTGATTCTGATTGTCTTGTGCAAGGACATTTCTTAAAACAAGCGTTTGCACTAGCAACCTTTGACCGAAAACTCATCCTGACATCATTCAATATGTGCATCAAACACAGCTTAAAATTAAACTTGGGCACAGATGACATAATGAGCGAGTAAAGGAGCTACCGTCAGAGTGGAGAGACTTCTGAGGCAGCGTGAGCACATCAACAGGAGCATCAAAGTGCCGAGCGAAGCGCTAATGTGGCTGTGTCGCAGCAACAACGGTTGAGAATACAAAATACAAGTACTTCCTATGCGTATTTACGTAAATGTGTATCTATTCTATATTCTAAGCATTGCAAAAAAGCCCAAAAATAGATTGTTCATGCCTCTGAAATGCAGCATTCATTTGCTGTTGTGATCTTAATATACATTTTATAGCCAAAAGGATAAAGCCATATTTTATTTATTGATATAATTATTTAGAAATTGAATCAAATTGAAGAAGATTCAACGTATTGTCATTACGTAGTACAGGTAGTATGTAACGAAACGGTTTCTCTGCATTTGACCCATCCTAGTGTGAGGAGCAGTGGGCTGCCATTATGTACGGTGCCCGGGGAGCCGTGTAGGGAACAGTGCCTTGCTCAGGGACACCTCGGTAGCACTTGGTCTTTCCGGGACTTGAACTGGTGACCTTCTAGTTGCCAAGTCCCTAAGGACTTCGCCACCACCGCCCTATAAAATACTAACCTTACTCGAATTAAAAATGTTAATCAACGACATCTAGAGAAATAAGATGATGTCTTACATTATACCTCCGTCAGCATCTTTGAATAACTGGGAAACAGCCACATCAAAAGAAAAGTTGTGAGGGGCATTGCTCACTTTCTTTCTGACGGTTAATCCAAAAAATTATCTACAACGAAATTAACGATGAAAATCAGTAGTTCATTAACTATTTTTAAACCAGCGTGCACCTCCTCTGTGTGCATAGAACAGCATCCGATTGATTACAACTCAATATCCAGGTCACAGCAGCCTCTGTGATTGGATATTGATTGGATTATGGTGATCTGCTTCATATGAATGCCTCTGACCTGTGCCTAAAGAGTTTGGATACTGTACGTTTTATCACTGATATCGGGTACACCATTGCACTTTATATGCTGCTGCTAATTGGCCATCTTTGTCTGCTTGGGCTGGTTCTCTCTTACATTTGCACATTTATGTGTAAAAGAGAAAGTCTATATGGCATGATGCTGGTTCCTAAAGTAAGAACAGAACTGGGTAATAATAAATATGCTGCCCCCACTGCTTGGAATAATGTACAGAAGGAGCTGAAACTCTCACATTTGATCACCTTTGGCGAATTCAGGTCCATCTTAAAAGGACAGAGAACACGACACCATTGGTCGATGCAAGTGCTCGTATATCCAAAAATTGAAGTCGTTTTATATTTTGCCAGTTTTTAATGGTTTCTTTTATTTCGCATATTGACCGGCTAATGTGCCATTTTGTCTGTTTCACAGCTGTATTCGTCTGCCTGTCTCGTCTGTGTTTTATCTGTTGTAACTTTGTTCATGCTGCCCTTCTTGGCCAGGTCACTCTTTTAATCTCAATGAGTTCTTTACCTGGTTAAATAAAGGATACATAAATAAAGGATATATATATTTATTGTATTCTTTTCAATATATAATTACAACTTTACTGCGAGAGATGTCTGCCATGAATGTGAAGAACCTGCTCACGTCTGTCAATCACAGTAGATGCAATCCGGTGAAGGGATATGAAATCCTTATGAAACCGAATAAAGAGGCAGCACAATAAATCAAAGACGAGCAGTCTCTTCTCTTTTTGATGTGCGTCGTGTCGCAATATACATTTGCAATGGAATCCAACAAATCATCAGTATGCAAACACACAGCATCTGAAGGAATGTGCCGGGTGCAGCGCAGTATGAAGAGAAACGGATTATGTGGCAAAAGGGAGGCGCGTGGCTGTCGTTTCTGACATACTAGCCAGCACACACGCTAATAGACTGCTGATACAAGTCCTGGAAAGAGAGGATGGATGCATGCACCAGCTACTAGCCACAGTACAAGTGTAAATGCCTGAGGCTAGTGGTGGAAGATAAAGGAAAAGTAACCCCTCCCACAGCTTCAGCCGTAATGTACTTTGCATTTTCGGGGCCAATTTTCCTGTCTTTTCCTCGTACATCCAATTAAGGCCGATCCGAATTAACGATCCTATAAAAAGGGAAGTCTTTTTCAATGATTTAAACTGTGCTGACGCCGTCACTTGCTGTGACACATACAACTGAAATCCTGAGTCATTTGCAACTGAGGAAAAACCATCAGGGTGTTTGATATCACTTGGTCACATCTGGCTGATAACAGACGCTCTTAATAGATTGATCATGTCAGTGCATTCTCCTTCAATTGAGATTTATTTTTTTAATTAAAAAGGTTCAGTATATTAAAATAAGGACAAATGAATTATTAACAAATTAATGCCTTTAGATATCGAGCTAAACATGTTTTAAAAAAGGGTCAAAATCCATGATTAAGGAGGAATATATGCATTTCAATTAAAGGGGAGCGTCTCTCTAGTCTGTAGGAAGTCGTATTCATTTAGATGGTTTTGTACTATATTTTAAATGTAAGTGTAATTATTTACAAACCAAAATAAATGTAAATGTTGCTGGTCAAACAAGTAAATGTCGTATTAATGCCAGTATCAAAAGTGACTGAGAACTACGCCACAGACATTTCCCTAGATCATTTGAATGTGATCTGTGTTTGTTTTGACTCACTGCTTGTCTGTTTTTTTTTTATTCTGTTATTCCGTGAGCCTGACAATAAACACGTATTGATTGCATTGTATACGAATGCTCCAAGGGGGGGGGGTTTACTTTCTGAAAATGTAATTTTGTGATGACTTTGGGAGGAAATCCAGCCACAGATTTATTTTGCATCCTCACAACATTACTGTTCCCATACACGACCCAAATCTGAATGAAACGACACCATACTCATCACTCAGCGTCACATCTTTGAGGAATAACTCAAACATCAGACTAATACTCAAAGCTCTACACTATCCTGGCCACAGCAGCTTTTACTATGAAAAGGTAAGAACACAAATTCAACAAGTATCCTTTCAAACTTGACCTCTGATCATTTTAATATTGTCAGTCCTGCACAACCTTACGAATTGTGTACACAAAGCTTCCTCTTAATAACTGCAAAGCTTTCCACTCTTTATACCAATACTGCACATTTTATACTGTTTTTACAAGTATTTTTATCATATTCTGTTTGGTATATCTATATTTCATGTACATATTGCTCTATATTTAAAATAGTTTTCCTTATAATTGTTAATTTGTTTGGTTTCATACAATTTATCTTCTTTGCCTGTTTATGAATAATAAGGCATAAGGCAAATTCCTACCCTACTTTCTGATTCTGACTGCAAGACACCTGGCTCTACAAACACGACAGGCCCAAGATGGGAATAAGAAGTGAATTATTACACAAATTATCCCTCGGACAAATACATCTGTGCATCAAGTGGTAATTCCCATCTGAGATAAATCCAGGGCAGACTGCCAGCATCCGGGCCTTCAGGGCAACCTGTCAGACCTGATCAGCCCTGTTCATGAAGGATGTCACATTTCAGTATCACACCTCTCCCTGCTCACACTGTGGTCCTAAATATCACTCCCTGTCTCTGTGATCACACGCCTGTTAAGTGTGGGATGAGTCAAAGCTCAGGTGACCAAAACTGCACCAACCTGCAGGATACTACACATCCAAAAGCTGTGAATGGAACTGATCACACACACACACACACACACACGTCAAAATGCAACATTACACAAAGTGAAAATGAGACATAATAGCAATGTAGGCTTTGAGTGTATCATTTCCAGAGGTTGAAAGCCATACATTATGTATCTGTAATAGCAACTCACAGCCCAACATCATACATCTGTGGTTGTTGGTAATATTGTCACGGCGGTTAATCTTCTGTCAAACCACAGCTCATTCACATTAATCTGAATTGATATCACGTCCTAAATCTCCTATGATATCTCTGAACAGCCGACAGCTGTGGTGGCAGTAATTGACCAGATACATTGATTTTCACGGTGCCTGTTTCGTTATTTAGACCATTGGGTGGTGCCGAGCAGCTGCTAGCAAGCTATGGCTAACGGGAGAGCACACGATGGATGTTCAAGCCATACACACTGAAATATCGAAGGAAATATGACCCTATAAGTAATGATAAAGCTCATTGACATGGAGCTAGCACGGGGAATACAAATAACGTGTTAAAATGCCATGACATAAGGATTGCTTTAGCTTTAGCCGAGGCTATGGAGCTAACATCACATCGGCAGCGTTAGCAACAGTTAGCCTAGCATCAGTTCGCCCCATGGTGATGGACGTTAAACAAAATTATTTAACACCACGTTTCTTCCAAAGCTTACCTGGACATAGTTGCTTTCGCAGTACTCCGCGACTCTTTCCAAATTGGTGAAACTGTCTAGTAGTGCGCTTCGTCCGGCTGGAATCTCCTCTTCCAGAAGCATTTGTAGCTCCGCCATTTTCACATCTTTATAGGAGCAGTGTGTGTGTGTATGTGGCCGGCTCTCTGGCGCCTCCCGCGGACGCTCTGCAGGGCTTTTCCCGCAGCCGGTGGAGAGCAGGGGGTCCCGAAATATGTTATGTCATTAATTATGTATGTCTACATATAAAATGCATTAAAACAGACTCCAGTGCCAAATATGCTTATGTAGTTTGCAAAATAGGTTTAATTATGTCATAATTTGCACCTTTTTCAGTTCTGGTTTCAATGTCATCATCTCGGTTTTACGGTCTAAAAAGTGTTGCAGCAGTTTTCCTCACTCTCTGAAGAACAAGAAGAAAATAAATGTTACCTTTTATTAATTTAAACTCGATATTTAAGTTTAAAATGTACAAACTACGGTGGCCAGCAGGTGCAATCGCGCTACAACGACCCACACACTTACATTAGGAGTAACCGAGTAACCAGCGCCGTATAGATAGAATAGAAGATTCTGGGAGTAACGTGCTGCAGCTTCAAAATCGGTGACATATTAAATGTGCCAAAAGGCCAAAACACATGCAAATGAAGATAAATCCACACCAACCTGACGAAACATGAGCAGGGTTTACTAAAAGAGCGGCATCAGCTAAAAGATTTTCAAATGTTTTTCTAAAAATGAAAGAAAATCTGAATGTATTCTTTCTTTCTTATTCCTAAAATTAAATTAAATATTTAAAATGCAAATATCTTTTTACAGAAAAATAATTTATAGATATTTTTATAATTAAAAAAACAAAAGACTGAGATTTTCACTTTTGTCATCTTAGCTCTTTTATTAACAAGAAAAACCCCAACGTTTATTTTTTCAGACATGTAAATGTGGCACTCATCTCACATCTTGAAAATTGAAACACAATTTATTGCAAACTCAACCCGTTAGCTTTTCTTTTGTATGACTTTTCTTTTAATGTGTGTTATTTCCTTCTTCAAACTTTCATTTATGCATTCAACACTTTGAGACTTAGTCAAAAATAAAATAACGTTTGAATACAATATCTTCAATGAAAGAAGCTCTGGTGCTTTACATTTTCATGCAGATAAATATCAGTTGAGGTTAACAGAAATCCTCCTGAGCAGTGACAGGCTAAACAGACACAGGACGGAGCGCCGCCTAAAGAAACTCCAACATCTACAGAACAACTCATGAGAAGATGTTAAAGCACACCCCATAATGTTTGATTGACAGCTGATCTCTGTGCAGGGAAGACATGAACAATCAGCTCTCAGCAACAATGATGGACACACAGTGAGTTTAAGAAGTAGAAGAGTTCCTAAAATGACTTCAGGCTATTTCAGTTGAGTTTACACAACTCAGCTGTGTCTCCACAAGGATAATAAAGCTGAACTCCAGCATAGCGGCTGAGTGAATGTGGTCTGGACTCTGTGGAAGAGTGTCATGGTACCGTTTCAGAGATGCTGTAGAAGGACAGAATACCTGCTCTGTGATCCAGGTACACACCTATTGAGGACCTGAGACAAGAGTGTCGATATTGTAGTAACTAAATGAATAACTGTTTTGATCGCAATCTAAGGACCAAGATTTGTCATTGAGTCCACATCCACTTTCCCCCCTTGCTCTGCTGATATTCTTGTATGCGACTGCAACATCAACTCCTCTCTCTCTCCACTCCACCTCCCAGTAACAAAGTCCAGTCAGACCCTCTCTACTCAGGACCTGAGGATAATAATCAGTTAATCTGTCTGGGTGGCTATAAGACTGTTGTTGTTCCATGAGTGTTGCTTTTCTGCTGCCCTCAGATAATACCAGCAGTGTGTGTGCTGTGTTTGGATCCAGAGTGATCTCCTGTGAATATGTTAAGAACCCAGCTCTGGTGGTGGGCTCTGCTGCTGACAGTAAAACATCCACTTCAGTCGGTGAGACGTTTGCCCATTCCTCTCTCAGGACGTCCTGTAGTTTGTCTCTGACTGCTGACAGGGCCGCCGTCACGTCCTCAAAGTAGCTCAGAGGACGGATGTTGATGCTGGAGGAGTGTGTAGCTTCACTGAGGGCTGGCAGTGAGGGGTAGCTGTGCAGAAACTGGTTGTGATCCTCTGTGTGAGACAGCAGCTTCAGCTCAGTGTCTCTCCTCTTCAGCTCCCTGATCTCCTGCTCCAGCTTCTCCTGAAGCTCTCTGACTCGACTCACTTCTCTCTTCTGCTGGGATCTGAGCTGCTGCTTCACATCAGAGCTTCTCTTCTCCATGAGACGGATCAGCTCAGTGAACGTCTTCTCACTGTCCTCCACTGCTTTATCAGCAGAGCCATTGAAGGCCTCCACCTCCTGCTGAAGCAGCTTCACCTCCTTCTCTCTGTCCTGGATTCTCTGCTGGATGTTTAGTCGACTCCCTCTCAGTCCTCTCTGCTGCAGCTGACACCGTGTCGTGGCCTTTGTGTTCGTCCACAGAGCAGAGATAACAGATACACTGCTGATCAGTGCGGCAGAACAGCTTCATCACCTCGTCATGACGAGAGCAGATTTTCTCCTGGAGCTTCGTGGAGGGCTCCACCAGCTTGTGTTTTTTTAATGAAGCTACGTAATATAATAATGAGACTGCAGGTGTTTGTCACAATAAGAGGCCAAACACACAAGGCAGGACTTACAGGCTCTCAGTTTTCTCTTAGTGCAGATATCACAGGCCACAGCTCCAGCATAGCAGAGATCAGCAGGAGCAGCTTGGAGTCCAGTCTTCTTCAGCTCCAACATAGCAGTGATCAGCAGGGGCAGCTTGGAGTCCAGTCTTCTTCAGCTCCTCCACTAAAGCTGCTAACATGTTGTTTTTCAGCAGGACAGGCCTCGGTGTGAAGCTCTGCCTACACTGAGGGCAGCTGTAGATCTTCTTCTCATCCTCTCCATCCCAGAAGCCTTTAATACACTTCATGCAGTAGCTGTGTCCACAGGAAGTCGTCACCGGATCCTTCAGTAGATCCAGACAGATCAGACAAGAGAAGAGATCTTTCTTTGTAAAAGGCATAGAGTTGATGATTGATGAAATTGAACATACATTAAACTATGACAAACGTTACGTTGGTTAGTTAAGTAGACCAGACAATTGTTGGTTAGATACCTAACGTTTTAAACCGTTACATGTTTTGTTTACGTTAGCAAGCTCCAAATAACGTGGTTTATACTATTTTAAAGGTGGGGTTGGTACGTTTGAGAAACCGGCTCGAGATACACTTTTTGTTATAATCCATGGAATGCTCTTAACATCCGATAGCAATGAATATCTTAAGTGCTTTGACAAAAAATCCAATCCATCTGTGGAAGCCGTAGTACTGTAAAAAGCACGACCAATCATTTTAGCCGGCCCGGCTAAAATGACTGGATGGCCTACCTGCCTGCCTGTCAGCCTTCCATCTGTGCACAAACTTATCTCGTGCCCTCATTGGTCATGTGCACATTCATGTGTGTTGGAGGAGGGGTGTCACGATCTGTCTGTGTTTTGTTTTGTCTTTTTCTGTCTTTGGTTTCCTGTTTTATTTTGAAAAGTGTTCACCCCGTGTCTTGCCTGTTGCTTTCTGTCTGTGTTCCCTCCTGTCCAGTGGTGTAGTCTACGTGATACGCTGGTATACGCCGTATACCCACTAAATGCCAGTGATTTCCGTATACCCTCTTAAAAATGAGCGATGATACGTGACAACATCATTTTGTGACTGCGCTTTCACGCTTTCGCCTCTTCTGTGTTAAAGGTCACATGTCATGGCCATTTCCACTGATCATAATTCCATTGTTGAGGTCTACTAGAATAGATTTATACTGTGCAATTTTCCAAACTCACATTGTTTCGCATACAGCATCTCTGTAAACTACGTGTATTCACTCTCTCCACTAAACGGCTCGTTGCAGCTCTTGCCCCCCCCTCCCTGTGAGCCCAGTGTGCTCCGATTGGTCGGGACCAGTCGGGACGTTGTGAATCGCGCTAAGCTCCGTGGAGGTGTGATTTCCTTGTTTAGCGATACACAGCGAAACACTGCCAAACTCACCCTGAGCACACACAAAGTCACAGCCGAAGTAAAAACAATAAGTGTGGCTTGATATTGAGTAAGAAAAAGGTTGATAAACGCTGTGAGAATGGGTCTGCAGAGAGAATTTCGCCGCGATCCCAACAAGTGCTGGAATTGGGCCGGTACTCACCGGTACGCAGTACCGGCACTTCTGGTTCTGACCCATGGAGTACCGGCACTTCTTGCTCAGTACCGGCATGCTGGCGGTACTCCGGTACTCATGCACCGTGCCAGTACTCAACACTCTCCCGCCGTTCTTATTATACATCCATATATATATATACAGCCGCCCGGTACTCAGTAGATGCGTCATGAGGTGCCGAACGGACATTCTCATCGCTCTAACCGCTGGAGTTTCACAGCGGCTGTCAGCTGTTTACTCCTGTCATTCAAACAGAACGTGCTGGAGAGGGGGCGGGGCTTATCTTCCCCATGTAAATACTGTGGTGGAAACGACTATGTCAAAATTAACCTATTTGACCGTGATTTAATAGTAATACACGTTTCAAAATAATAATAATAATGCCGAAGTAACAACATACTGAAAACTGTTAGTAAAACCATGTTTTAATGCTTTACAATTTACATACCTAGATGCACGTGTGTTGTGTTTATGCAGTGCAACTCCCACCTAGTGGGTGGCTATGTAGAGTGATAGAACAGAGCAGGCACGCCCCCGAGAGAAGGAAAGCAAGTCACGTCACAAATTAGCATTTCTAAAATGTTAGCGTGGATTAATAAAAGTGCAAAAAGACAGCGGTTGTCGCCGGAAGAAACTTCAAATACAGAGAATGCTGTGCCTGTGTTGGAAATTGTGTCTGATGGGGAGCTTTCTTTGGTTGATCCTCCTGCTCCAAGTTCTAGTGCATTAGCATTAGCACTAGCTCCGCCGCCTCCTCCAGAGCCTCTAACGTTAGCTGCTGCTGGCGCAACTGCCACCACCAACACCGGGCAAAGCGATGCACCTGACTGCTGGACAACGGACCAGGTGCAATATTTTTGCAAGACCCATGGCTCCTTCTTAAAGATAAGAAGCTAGGATGTCGGATATGCAGAGATGTCAAATATTTGGGAATACACACTGGACAAGGACTGAAACTGTCAACTGAATGGGGTGAGTGTGCAGTGTCTCATTTCGGTGTTGACAAGGGCAAACAACAAGCTAGCCTGAGAAAAAAAATCAAAGAACATAAAGAATCACAAGCCCATGTAAAAGCTGCTGACATCCTTACATCTGCTTCACGTGAAACTATTCAACATCAAGTGCAGTCTATGCATAAATCTGAATTAGACACCACTATCAGAGTTTTTCGAACGGCATACAATTGGCAAACATAGCCGGCCATTCACAGACATGCCAATTGATTTGAATGTACAGAAACTGAATGGGCTGAACGTGGGCAGGGTTTTGCACTCCAATAAAACCTGTGGCGAAATCATCGACCACATAGCTCATGAGCTGAAGAAAAAAATGGCAAAAGACATTACAGAAAACCAAAGAAAACTCTGTGTTTTGGTCGATGAATCTACCACTATTAGTGGTAAAACGGTGCTTGTTGTGTGTCTACGCTCAGCATTAGCTGATGCTGAGCCCGAAACGTTTTTTTGGGAGCTGATCGAGTTGGATGGAACAACGGCTGATGACATCACAAAGGCGTTAATGGAGTGTCTTGGAAGAGATTTTAACGAGGACTTTTTAGGTCAGTGTTTCGTTTCTTTTGCATGTGATGGGGCTTCAGTCATGCTAGGGAAGAGAACAGGCGTTGCTACCCAGTTGTGTAGTAAATTCCCAAGCCTGTTTGTGTGGCACTGCTCCAATCATCGTCTAGAGCTGGCAGTTGGGGATGTGGTCAAGGAGGTCTCAGGGCTCAATCATTTCCAGATCTTTTTTGACAAACTCTATTCCTTGTTCCATGCCTCCCCCAAAAATCAGAGGCAGTTAGCGCAGTGTGCGCAAGCAGTCGGACAGCGTCTCCTGGTGATAGGGCGTGTTTTGTCCATCCGCTGGGTGGCTTCAAGTGAAAGGAGCGTCAGAGCAGTCTGGGAAAACTACCGAGTGCTTCATGATCACTTCACAAATGCTGCAAACGACACGAGCAGGGATTCCAGAGACAGAGCAAAGTACAAGGGCCTGGATGATGTGCTCACATCTGCAACGTTTGTCAGCAATCTGGGACTGTGTACGATGCGCTCACAGAGCTCAGCGACCTCTCTCGGCAACTCCAAAAAAGAGAGATGACACTGCCTACAGCAGATAGGCTCTTAACTCGAGAAATACGAGTTTTTGAATCCATGGTCACCATGCCTGGCCCACACATGACTACAGTTCATACAGCTCTAGCTGAGAAGTCCTTCAAGGGTGTTGCCCTGCGTGAGAATGGCAGGCTTGTACAGATTCATGCAGGTCAGTTTTTTCCGCAGTATGGTAGAGAATCTGAGACACAGAATGACTTCCACAACCTCCTCTCATGTCAGCACAAGAGAAATCCCATTACATGGCCGGGAGGCCCGGGACAATCAGCTAATCCAGGACATGAAATTTATCCATCCTGGAAGTTGGCCTGAAGAGGAGTTAGACGTACAGTATGGGGACGTAGAGGTGCTACGTTTGTGCGAAGTGCTGAAAGTGGACAGAAGAGAGACTGTTCAGGGCTTTCACGAATACAAGGAAACCAGGGCATCCCGTACACCTGCTGCCATGGAGCCTCTACTGAAAGCAGTCCGAACCATCGCTGTCTCCACTAGTGAGTGTGAGCGGGCATTCAGCTGCATGAACGATATCCTTACTGCAAAAAGGAATGCTCTCTCTGTCAGCCGACTGTCCAGCCTGGTTTTCATTAAATGTAATGGACCATCACTAGGACAGTTCAATCCGGAACAGTATGTGAGGTGAAAGAGCCTGTCCAGCTCCAGCCCCTGATACTGATGTCCCCAAGGCCTTCTGGAGCCTTTTCTAACAATGTGAAGTATATTGCAAAGCAGCTCACCCAGTGAGAAGACTTTTGGCATAATGTGCCGATGTGTACAGATCCTGGAGATAGAAGGACTTCAGACCAACCAGGGAGTTATCTGATCAGCTTGGTGTTCAATGTAACTCTTTACCATGGCTCAGACTTTGTTACTTGCAGTTACAGTTTCTCATTTTAGATTGTGCAAATTTTGCATTTGTTTTTACATGTTCTTTGTTCATGCTCTTTATCATTTTTCTGAGTTGGAAAGTTAGATTGCATCATAGTTTACTTTATACATATTTGTATTCTTCAGTGGTGAAGTATATTGCAAAGCAGCTCAGCCATGTGAGAAGACTTTTGGCACTTTTTCGTTTTTCGTTTTCTGAGTTGGAAAGTTAGATTGCATTCAAAATGTACAGAAATACTTAATTTTGTTAAAGCTTTTTATAAAAAATGCTTCTGACCAGAGCTTTGTTTCCTTGTCATTAATGTTGAACACCACCAGAGGGGCTCTCACCTGAAAGGTCTCTGCTTCATGTGTCTTCAGCAGAAGATCTAGACTTTGATTGCTATATTTTCAGTTAATATTGACCTTACTGAGCTTTAGCCATATCCGCTGCCTATCATAAAAAATGTTAAGTACAGTGAACCTTTCTAAAATATACAGTAGTAAAGAGACAAACCCACCAGCATTATAGTAGCCAAATTCTTGTTTGTGGGCTGTATATATAAAATTGACTTGAAAAAGTTGCTGATTTTAGAGTACTGGCACCTTTTTCATTCCAATTCAAGCACTGCCCGGAACTAAGCGTCGCAGACGGAGAAAGGAGCGTAAACAAAAGCGGGGATGCAGAGCCGGCCTGCTGGAGAGGCTAAGGAACCGCCCGGACAAACCACCGTTGCCGAGTATCTTTTTAACAAATGCAAGATCTCTCGCTAACAAGATGGACGAACCTAGA